TCATTCCCTCGTCCTGCTCCCGAACCCACAGAGGCTCCATGTTGCCTGTAGGACAGTCCCCAGCCAGAGCCTCCAGGGACCGGCCCATCGTACCACCCCTCCAGCTTCCACGCGCTGATTTGGTCACTTCGGGTCTCCTGTCTGCCTGCCCACCCGCTTCACTGGGCGCCCCCTGCGAGCCGGGGCTCACTCGCCTCCCAGTCCGACGCGCCCTTTCCCCCACCCTTTCCCAGCTCTGCCCCAAACCCAGGCCTCCGGGGGGGACGTCCGAGGGCCCCCTGTCGGAGAGCCTCTCCAGTGCCAGACCCCGAGGGGACCATGGCCGCTCCCTGGGGCAGGGGCCACATGTGGGTGCGGCCGCCCCGCAGCCGGGCCCACCGCCTCGGGGCCTGGCCCGGGGGTGCCTCCCGCCCCACACCAACCTCCGGCCTGCGGTTGGCGCTGCCCTCCTCCTCCTTCTTCTCCTCGGGGTAGCTGCGCACCGGGAGGGGCGGGCCCGCCTCAGCGCTGTCCTCGGGGGAGGACGGGCTCCAGCCCTGTGGCAGCGGCATCCCTGGGCCCCCGAAGTCGTAGGTCTGGGCGCGGAAGGAGAGCTTCATGGAGCGGTCAGGGTCAGGGTCCTCCTCGTCCTCTCGCTCCAGCCGCTTCTCGGCCCTCAGCTCCTTGGCCAGCTTGACATCTTCCCACTCCTTGGCGAGCTGCTCCTCCGCCTCCTGCTCCAGCTTCCTGCTCTTCTCGCCCCGGAAGGGGCCTTGAGAGGCCCTTGCCGTCTCCTCGTCCTCCTGCCTTGACCTCGTGCGCTTCCCCTTCCCCTTGGGGGGCTGAGAAAGCTCAGCCCCAGTCTTCCTGGCTCCATCCACGGCCAGAGCCTCAGACCAACCTGGAGCAGGTGGTGGACAAGAGCAGATGAGGGAGGGAGGGCCACCTTCCCCAGTCCCTGCCACTCCCCAGGGACCTCTCTGTGGCCACCGTTGGACCACAGACCCTGCACCTGTAGCTCAGCTTCTCCACAATGGATTCTGCTTAGAGGGAAAAAGCCATCTTGACACCAGGCTTTGCAAGGCCCCTTCAAAGCTCAGATGAGTGGGTTGGCTGGAGCCAGCCTCTTCCTTTAGCCCTCTCACCCCAGAAGCCCCTGACTCAAGGGTCACTTAGCTATGCAGAGAGGAAAGACTCTGACAAGCCCCTTATGAGGAGCCAGGGTCCCTCTTAAACCCTGGTGAAAGCTGACAACTGTTCCCAGACAAGCCTGTTTCCGCCTGTCATGCTGTCCCTCTATTCCCAAAGCCTCAGCGGTGCCCCCATTTGTGCAATGCAGGTAAGGAGTCCCACCCACCGTGCGAAGCCCCTCTAACTTCTTGGGTGGGGAAGAGGGGTTATGTGGAGTAGTGGAGATGCATGGTTTTGGAGTTGGACAAACCTGGGTTGGGATCTCAGCTTTTACTACAAATTAGCTGCGTGACCTTGGGAAAATTACTTAACCTCTCTGAGCCTGTTTCCTATCTGAAAATGGAGATAATACCTATTTTGGGGTGGTTGTGAAGGTGGAATGAGATTATGGGTACGGTGCCCCTCCCATCTGTCCCCTTCTCTCCTACAAATTTGTCGAGGTCTCAGACATCATACATACTCTCGCCCCTCTGAGTCTCCTTGTGGCCGAGGCTCGGGTGGGCGTTAAGGACTGTGGCAGGGCCTTTCTCCTCCGGGGCGGCCTTCTCTCCAGCCTCTGCGTCCTCCTCCTCCTCTTCTTTCTTCGCCTGCTGCCCTCGCTCTGCACCCAGGCCCTTCTCTCCATCTACCAGGCCCTGGGAAGGGCCCTCACTGTCCTCCTTGGCTTGTGGGCTCGGGTGTTTCTGGCTGGGGAGGCTGGCTGGAGGGCGGGTCTTGGCGGCCTCCTCTCCCGCTGGGTCCTGGCTGTCCTCCTCAACCTCGGCCTCCTGCCCGGGCTCTGGGGAGGCCTGAGGCCGGGCTCCGTCCATGTTTTCACCATTCTTCTCCACCTCATTGGAATCCCCTCTTTTCTCCTCAGCATCCTTGGAGGATGCCACTTCTGTCCCCTCTACAGAAACAAGAGAGCAAAGTCAGACCCCAAGGACCAGGCTGCATGCGGGGTCTCCCCAGAGCCCAATTTCAGATCTTCATCACTGTACGTCTTCACCCCCAGCCCAAGACCGCCGTGATAGTTAGAGTTACCCAAGCATCTGGGCTTGACGTGATCACAACCGGATTGTATTTCTTTCTTTGTAATTCTACCTCTTAAAGAAAGATTCGATTTAAAAAAAAAAAAGACCTTGAAAATTACCCCAGAAGGTAGAGCCCTGAATTGAAAGTTAGGACATCAGCTGAATCACTGTGTGATCTTGGGCAAGTCCCTTAACTTCTCCGTGTAAGAGGCATCGTTACTGTGACTTCATTCTCCGCCCCCAACATGGGGCCTTTCTGTCTTGAGTATCTGGTGAAAATGCCCAATTCCTCAGTATTTGCAGAGTTTCATTAAAAGGAATTTTCTTTAGACTAGTGGTTACCAGAGGGTAGGGGGCGGAGGAGGAAGGGGGAGGTAGATGGGGTAAAGGGGGTCAAATATATGGTCACAGAAAGAAATCTAACTATGGGCGGTGAACACACGGTGTAAAAATATATATGGCTTACTGTTAAAGTGTAGAGCTGAAACTTATTGGATTTAGTTAACCATTGTCACCATAACAAATTAATTAAAATAAAATAAAAAAAAATAAAAGGCAATTTCTTCTTGCTGCCTT